ATTTTCTCTCATCAGCTAATCGATCAGCTGCTGCAGCTGATGAACGAACTGACTGTTCCAGCTCCAGAAGGAACCTTGTCCTGGATTAGACGTTCTGACTATGAGCAGTTAAATCAGGTGATGAGCTCAGAAAGAATGAAGTCACAAACAACATCTGAGCTGTAAATATCAACTGTGGTGAAACATCACAGGGCAGGTGAAGGCGGAGACATAAACAGAGACATTATCCTCAGATTATTCTAACACCTGTAGACGCCTGAACACAACACCTGAAGGCGCCTGAACACAACACCTGAAGGCGCCTGAACACAACACCAGAAGGCGCCTGAACACAACACCAGAAGGCGCCTGAACACAACACCAGAAGGCGCCTGAACACAACACCAGAAGGCGCCTGAACACAACACCAGAAGGCGCCTGAACACAACACCTAAAGGCGCCTGAACACAACACCTGAAGGCGCCTGAACACAACACCTGAAGGCGCCTGAACACAACACCAGAAGGCGCCTGAACACAACACCTAAAGGCGCCTGAACACAACACCTGAAGGCGCCTGAACACAACACCTGAAGGCGCCTGAACACATTTATATATATATATATATCTTGTGACTATTTTTAGACGAAACAGTTATTGGAATAATTGCAGAAATAATCAGCAGATTAACTGACAATGAAAATAATAATCATTGGTTGCCATGGTAACAACTACACATGCTGTTCGGTGCTAAAATGAAGGAAGTGAACAGAAACCTCAGGACTAACATCTGATCAAGAAGTCAAACAGTCACCAAACCTCTGTCACTTCATCTGCCACTTCTCTACAAATAATCAGTGAACACTAATTAATTATGATAATCAATCAAATAAGATAATAATCAGCAGATTCATCAATAACAGTTTGGTATAGGCCTGGACCCCCTGCCCCCCAGAGAGATCTGTTCTGTGGAAAAAGTGACTCATGGACTCAGAGTGAGGGAAGATGTTTTTGCAAGGAGATGAAAAATGGCTGACCTATGACACAGTGATGATCAACTGGTTTATAGATGACTGGATTATGGGCTGGTATACGACTCCCCTTGGTAACAAACACCTGTAACCACGGCTACTTTGTTTTTTGTTTGTTTGTTTATTTGTCAGCTGATCTTTATGCTCCTTATGGCTGTAAAAAAGTCAAGATGTTTGACTTTTGTCTTGACTTTTTGTGTAAGAAAGGAAAGTTGAACTGAATGAACAAATGAAAATTCAAACACTAAAGTAAAAAAAAAAATCAATAATAGTTTAGTTTCAAAACTGACAAAAATAATGAGAAATGTCCGAACCATCTTCAGATGTCTTGTTTTGTCAGAGAAAGATCAAAATAGTCAACGATCAATTTTCTCTCCATCAATAAATCTCCTCATCACTACAGAGCTGTGTTTGGTCGTGTAAATACACACTGGAAATACAGTCAACAGTTACACAAGGTCCAGAACATCACAATAACTGACGATCAATCAACACAAACAGGAAATCAGAGGAAACTTCAGAATAAAACAGAATAAAGAAATAAAGAACATCTGTATTTACACCCACAGAACATGGAACCTGTTGTGTTTCTGTCTCAACTCACAACTAACAACTCACTAACAACTCATTTAACCAAACAGCACAAACAGCCAGATCAAACCATACACTCCCAGCTGTTCACTGTCTACACCTGATGACATGTGACTCACCTGAGTCTCAGCACCAGCACCAGAACCCTGTGTTAGTGACCTTCAAGTGTAATTAATATTTCTAAGACTAGAAAAGAAAACAAGACTACGAGGAACAACTGGATTTTTTTCTTATTGTTTAATTAAAGGGTATAAAAGATATAATAATTTATAATATAATAATATATATATTATTGTGCCTGCCTCGTGTATGTTAAAGGGGCAGACAAAACAAACATTTTAACATATTATATGTAAATATGAAAATGTTTTCTCAGTGATCACAATTTTAATAAACCTGTTTCTTATCAAATAACTTTATATGTTTATGTTTAAAAAACTCAGATCTTTAAATCACTGCAGGCATTTTACCTGCGACAGTGTTTTTCAGTGATGACCTGATACTTGTACTGAAGGATCTGAGAACTTCCCCCACCACTGACTGATGCATCGTACTCATGTCGGATCCAGGGACAGATGTTACACAACCAACTAAAACAAATATGATCAGTAACACTTTATTTTACGGGTTATTTCCAGATTATTTCCTGGAAACATTTCCTCATAATTTCACAAAAATGAGCAGCTGTTAATTACTCAGATATTTCCAAGAAAGGATGAGACACACACACACACACACACACACACACACACACACACACACACACACACTTTAGATGACATGTCTGGTCTGTGGACATCAGGGAGAGACGTGTCTGTAAGTGTAACAGCAGAGTGATTGAAGTTTTATAACAGCTGAAAACTACAGGTCAACAAGCATCAACATCAGTTAAATTAATACTTACTGATCACCAAGATGATCTATAATCTATATTAATCCTTAATCTGTGGCAGCTCAGAATTATTGTTTACCTTCTACTCCATTTATCACAGTTTATCTTAAAAACACTTTCTCAATTTCCCTTATAATTAGCACCAACCTGTGTGGAAAACATCCGGATAATTAACAGATAAATGTCAGAAAATGATCAGGAAAGTTTCCGGTTAATTGGCTCATTAAATGATAAAGTTAATATTTATGTACCCCACACACTGTAAAGTGTGTAAAGTGTGTAAAGTGTGTAAAGTAAACTGTGAACTGGTTCAGTGTCTTTACCTTCAAACTGACACCCCCCACCACCAACCCCGAGCCGCGTGCATGGAATCCGCGCACGCGCCTGGTAATAACATTATGGCTAGCACTTAAAAAAATAACACCCCGAAATAACCCGGGCTGTGAGGTCCCGGTGTCCCGTCCTCACACGTTCGTCTGACCAGTGACATGAAAACCGCCGACAAAATGAAAGTATCAGGGGACATTTTGAGATTCCTTGCAGTGTTGGAAAAGCTAATGCTAACGTGCTAACAGGCAGGTCCCTGCGCTCCGCGGCCGGGAAATGAGGCTGCTCCTGCTGTGGGTAGCACCGCTATTAGCGTTAGCATGCTAACGAGACGACAACAGCCTACCACGTCTAAACAGTCTGAAATAATTGACCAAACATTGTTATTCAAATGGTCACGAAGCGGGATATCAAACGCGGGATTATGTGGTTAATATACCGCGGTTAGTTAAAGAATCGCCCCTTCCACAGCTGTTACCGAGCTAGCCTTTAGCCTAGCTAGCCCAGCGGGCTGTGACAATGGAATGCTCCGAGGCTAACAGTTAGCCGCCAGCTAGCTTCCTCTTCCAGCACAAAACAGTCACCGAATGTCGGTGAACATGTGGCTTTACATCGAGCAGCCGCTGCGGGGATTAACTGTCGACCCCCCTTCATTTAAAACACACAACTGTAAAAATCACGTACAGACACAGCAGGTACGAGTGCTGGTTTTCTCTGAGCAGACCTACCTCCTCTACTCCCCCAGTGTCCGAGCCCTGCTCCGGGGCTCCGCAGTCTGAGTTCCTCCGGGCCTCCGGGGCATCAAGGACCGAACGCCCCTGAAGTCCACCACCACAGCCGGGAGAACCTGCTCAAAGACGGCCCGAATATCCAAAAAATGTCCTGGTGAAATCCCCCACGGAAGCAGAGATTCAGTCAGTAGCCCTGGCTTCAGTTCTCTCCTCTCCAGTCAGCCAGCTAGCCCTCCCTCCCTGCCGCCGCCGCCGGCCTCTGCGTCTGATTATCCGGCTTCAGGAGCCAACACCATACCCCACAGCTCCGGGACTTTTCATGTACAAAGAAATAAAAACGTAACTTTAATAATAAAGGTCCAGTTAATGTGTGGAGGTTGACGCCGGGGCTGCTTCACTGTGTTTCCTCTGCATCGCTGCTGCCGGTGGGAGTAAGCCAGCAGGTCAGACCGGAGAACTGCAGCGACCGGAGGCAGAGCTGGGGGGGGGGGGCAGACAGGTGAGAGAGAGAACAGGTAGAGCGGGGGGGGGGGTTAGGGAGACAGACAGGCAGGTGATGGTGACACAACAGCACCTTCATCTCCTGCTTCAGAGACAAATATTAAGATATTATAAAGACCAAACCTCCAAAACCACAAATATAAAATATAAATCCTGTCAAAATACAAATATATAAACTGAACCCACCTGAACCTCAGCACCTCAGGTAAGTTCTTCATGTGACCGGCCACCATCAGAGGGAGCATCATGGTGGACATCCCTGTTCAAACCTGGCATTAATGGACGCCATCACAGACTCTCTTTGTCTTTATGGTCTTTGGTCCAAATGAGACAAACCGACACACATGGATTACAGAAGTTCAGCAGAGAGCATTTAAATTCAGAGGAAGTGACCCCTGACCCCAGAGAGCTTCACTTCACTTTCATTTTAACAAACAACCACAAATGATCAACGCTCATGATACGAGTTCGTTTGTTCAGTTTCAGTTTGACTTGAACTTCAGAGGAAACTTCTTTCTCTTCTTCTTCAGCTCTGCACATTCACATTACTGATGATTATGATCAAGAAGTAAATGATGACGTGCTGCTATTGGTTAAGATCAAAGATCAAACTTTATTGATCCCTCGTCTGCCCAGCTGCAACATTAAAGAGATGAACATGAACACATCAATAATTATAATACAATCATATTCAGGGTTTTTGTGCCCTGTGTTACCACTGATTGATTGATTGATTGATTGATTGATTGAGTGAGTGCTCTTCTAGCATGGGAGTACTGGTTGGTTTGGGCTGATAGTTGATAGTCCAAAAACACTGGATCTTACATTTCCCACAATGCACCTGCACAGTGTCCCTTCATTACAGCCCTGCTGCATGGTAACCTACCACGTCTCCACTTTGTATGTGAGTGTGTAGCCTGATGACATCACTGTGACATCACCATGTCATTTCTTTCTTTCCTCAGGTTTGATGAAGCACATTGTAGCACACACACACACACACACACACTGATCTGTGTGTGTGTGTGTGGACAGACCGTCTCCTCGCCTGAAGAGATGCTGCTGCTGTGATCTGCAGCCTGTTACCATGGCAACTGAACACGTGTGCACACACACAGACACACACACACACCTGTAACAGTGAGTGGATTTGGCATCTTCGTTGAGGGAGTTCTGAGATCAGAGAGAAGACGAGCGAAGAACACTCTGCACACGGGGGGGGGGGGGGGCGGGCAGGGGGGAGGGAGGGAGGGAGGGAGGGAAGACGAAACAAGGTTCAGAGACAAGAACAAAGGAATTCAACAAGAGATCAGAAAAGGTGGAAACATGGAGGAAAAATGAGAGAAAGAACAATGGAGAGAGTGAAAGATAACAAGGAGACAGGGAAAGGAGGAAGGAAAGAATAAAAGGAAACAAGGGAGGAAGAAAGAACTGAGAGGAGTGACGAAAGAAAATTAAAAAAATGGAGGGAACAGAGAAGTAGATATGAGAAGGTGGAAGGACAGGACGAAGAACAAACTGAGAGAAGGAAGGAGGAAAAGAGAAAGAAAGCAAAAGAGGAGGAAACAGGAAATGAGGAAGCGACGAAGGGAAGGAAGGAAGGAAACAACACAAACAAAAGGAGAAGGAAGGAGGGATGAGAGGGAGGAAGGACTGGAGGAAAAAGTGATGGAGGTGAGGAGCTGCAGTCTCTCTGGCGTCCAGCAGGAGGCGCTGTGATCCCCTCCATGAGGTTATTGATATTTACATTATATCAGCTGTTGATCAGAAAAATTCCCAATAACATCAGTGATCAATAATTAAACAGGCAGCAGGGATGAATCAATGTTTGATTCAACTAATTAAAATGAGAAATTAATTTAAGATCCATGTGTAAACTGTTCACCAGGTCAAAGGTCACAGGAAGTTCAGGCAGGTGAAGAAAAATATTTACAATATTTAAGAAAATATTTAGAAATATGAAAATATCAATATTTCATATAAAATATTAAAGAGTTTGACTTTACCTTCTGAAGCCTTTCACAATTCAGAACTGTTCAAAACCAAAAGACCTCTTCTGGTGTCTGAGGTCAAAGGTCACAGTGCTCTTTTCTTTGACTGACAGGTGTCTCAGTCAGGAGGAGAAGCTAAGCTAATCGATTAGCTAACAGGAAAAGCCACTGGAAACAGGAAATGGAAAGTGAAGATTGAATCTAGGAAGGTTTTTAAAACGTCTTTTCAAATTCTCTGATTTATTCACAACTTAGTAATAAATGTGGTTATAAAGGGTTTATTTAATGATGTGTAATTTGTTTTTTGTAAATCCAATTTTAAACCTGAAGTTTTAATCAATGATTAATCGTTCATTTATAAATTCTTAGAATTACATTAAAACATGAAATGAATGAAATGCTTTCTGACTTGTCCTGTGACGCCTCTGCTCCTCTGTAGAAGGAACTGTTTGCAAACGAAGAATTGATGAAGATTATTTTTCATAGATAAGAATAAAATGGAGGGTTTGTTTTTGACAGTTTGGATCATGTGGTGCGTTTACAGGCTGGAAAATAAAATGATGTCAAAGTTGTAGATGTTAAAACTTGACATGTTGTTTTGTTGAATCAGGACAGAAGCAGCAGGTTTTCAGTACATACAGTATTCTTTATTGAATGAAGCAAAATAATGAAGAGAATTTCAATCCCCTATTATGAAAATAAATAAATCATTTTCTTTGTCTCACTTCCTGCAGCTGATTTCATCTTCTGCTGTCGTTTAGATTTTCTGCTTCAAACCAGGAGATTTATTTTGTTTCCTGCGGACAGAGTTCATTCAGCTGCTCGACACCGAAAACAAGAAAAACATGAGACCGACCGATCCAGTTTGGCACGGGGGTGGGGGGGTAAATGCTCGCCAGAGAGAGAGAGAGAGAAAGACAGAGAGAGAGAGAGAAGCCGAGGGGTTAAATCATCATCATCATCAGCAGTGCATTTGGTTGAGTTCATGTCGGGAAGCCTGAGAGCGCAGAGCTCCACCATTTAACTCCCCAAGCGTCCCCTTCAAAATAAAAGACAAATAAAATTAAATCTCAGTGTGCGAGTTAAGCGTTGCCGTGGTGACTAATTACAAACTTTCCTCAACGAGCAAACACACCTGCTGCAAGGCAAGAACAACCTCCCTCTGCTGTAGTGATACAATCCTCAAATATTACACTCTCACTGTTTCCCAGCTAGCCGCTCTCCCATTGGTTTTCAATGGGGAGCGCTAACGATGCTAACGAGACATTTAAGAAAAAAGAAAGAAGAAAGAAGAAAAAAGCACTAAAATAAAATGTTTCCTGCAACTTTTCAGGTGAAGAGGAGAGTTTGTGGGTTGTGATGAGAAGTGATGGAGTGATGAGGAGGAGGAGAAAAAGGAAGGAGGAGTCATTGTTTCTGAAGTCTGCGTTGTAATAACTGCTGTTATATGACACAGCTGGAGGAGTGTGAGTGTGTGTGTGTGTGTGTGTGTGTGTGTGTGTGGACGGAGGAAGGTGTTTGATGAGAGGTCAAAGGTCATGAAGGTTGAGTGTCAGGCTCAGATCCAGTTTCTGCAGCAGAAACCGTCACAGTCGCTTCAGACTGGATTTAATTCAGTGGAGTTTGTTTACAGCTGCGTGTTTGTACCTGCGCTTCTTTAGAAACCTCCTGCGCAGATCAATCAGCTTTAATCAATCGATAAATGAATGTGCCAATGAAACGGAAGTTTAACTGCTCAAACTGCCACATACAGAAAACACAAGAGAAGCTTCGTCACGTCGGAGTCGGCTGATGTTCTTCTTTCCTTCCAGATCGAACTTCACCTTCACTTATTTATTGATCCTTTCTGATCGGCGTTCCCTCCACAGGCCGAGGACCGCTGATTCACACGACACTGAACGCGTCGGCGCTTCAGCTTCTTCTGTTGAATAAACTAGAACCACCTCCTCTGCTCAGACTAGCTCCAGGTTACAGCCCCGTTTATCAGAGAAGGTATCAACCAATGTCACCGTGACCTTTGACCTTTAGCCACCTGAATCTACTCAGTTCCTCCTTGAGTCCGGGTGAATGTTCTGTCGAGGTGTTACTGAGAGATCGTGTCCTCGAGAACGAGACGGACGAACTGAAAACAAAATGGCCGCCGCTCCGACCGTCGCCGAGGAGGAAATAAAAACGTGTTTATTTCTTTATCGTGAAGCTTCAGAATCAACAACAATAAAAACAGACCGAAGCCTTCAGGAAGCCGTGCTGCCGTTTCCCGAGCTGGAGCTGAGCCTGAACACATCACGTCTGTACTGCAGTAGCTGTACACAGTGCAGTACCAGTACTCTGTATTATACTACACACTGACACTGACCGACCTGACGACTCACAGGTCTGATGCAGCCGATCAGAGAGGGAGAAAAATCATCATTTACTGAATCCATTGATCGTTTATCAGCCGCTCCGGTGTTTCCTGTTTCCCTCTGGTGTGTGTCACTACACTAGATATAGATCTGTTTAATATAGATACAACTGAGTCAGCTGATCGGGAAAACATCAGGCAGATTTACTGATCACAGAAATGATATTGATTACACTGTTGATCATGTCAGATAGTTTGAATCTGTTTCACTGTACTACTGCTGACAGTACACTACTGTAGTATAAGTACACAGAGTACTCACTGTGTACTTATACTACATGGTGTTTGCAGACTAGTATTTCCTCAGTAGTACAGAGTGTGTGTGTGTGTGTGTGTGTGTGTGTGTGTGTGTGTGTGTTGATGCTGCTGCAGTCTTGAGTGTGAAACTGAATCCAGGAGGGTGGGGAGGGGGTGGGGGTGGGGGGGTCAGAGGTGAGACAGGTGAGGGTTTCTTCCAGGTGTTGCAGGTCACAGGTTTTACTGCTGATCTTTGAACGCGTCCAGGCCGAAGGCGGTGTCCAGGAAACGCCGCAGCTCCATCAGGTGAGTGTTCTTGTTTCCTGTGGCGGGGGCGGCGGCCGACTCTCTGCCAGCGTACCTGACACACACAGAGAGAGAGAGAGAGAGAGAGAGAGAGAGGGGTGAGCTCACCTGTCACTGACTGGTCGTCACAGTGACAGGTGAGCAGGTGTTGATGGCGGTCGTTACCAGACTGGTTTGGCTCTCTGAATCGTGGTCCTGATGCGAGGCTTCACGTAGTCATAGTAACCCTGGTTCTTGTGCTCCTCCTGACACCACACCAGGTCGGCGTTGGCGAAGAGCTCTGACTCGGCCTTCAACCTGTCGAACCGGAACCGGGATTGGCGGTGTGGTGAATCAATTGATATCATTTGTCAGGAGGAAGCCCAAAAACCAGGGTTAACTATATAGGCAAAAACGGTATATGACTAAGTGAACCTCGTTCAGACCCATCAACACCGGGATCTAGGAAGGACGAGGCTCCAGCAACGCGGCTGTTACTACTGTACGCATCGGGGGCATTGTTGTATTGATCCTGTTTGCTTTGGAGATGTGATGAAACACAGACTCAATGAATGAGAATCATCAGTCAATCATACGATCTGCTCTGACTTGGAAACAGTAGTAGAGGGGAAGACGTCCAGTAGAAGAAGGTGAGGACAGGTACCAAGAGTTGTAAAGATGAATTCATTCACTGGTAGGTTTAAAAGATGTTTAAATATATATCTATTATCATTATGATGAATAAAGTATCCGTCCATGTAGCAGTGAACGATTCTGACTCTTCTCTGATTCAACCGTCAAATTCTCATCAGCTCGTCCTTCAGTCCAGGTGAACGTTTCCTTCAAGGTGTTTATGAGACGGCCTGTGTGTGTGTGTGTGTGTGTGTGTGTGTGTGTGTTTACCTGCTCTATACGTGCGATGGCCACATTCCCCTCCATCCCTCTGTTCTTCCTCTCTTTGGTCAGCTCGTAGTAAACCTTCCCCGTGCAGAAGATCAACCTCTTCACCTCCTCTGGACGCTCGGCCGCCAAGCCTCGCTCTGGGATCAACCTCTGGAAGTGAGTTCCTGCAGAGGAGGAGGAGGAGCAGAGGAAGAAGAGACGTTGAAGGTCAGACTCAGCACCTTCAAACTGTAAAAACAACAACTACTAAATAAAAACAACGACGACGTTACCAGGCAGCATCTCGTCGAAGCTGGCTCTGGCCTCCGGGTGGCGCAGCAGAGATTTGGGAGTGAAGACGATGAGCTGAAAAAAGAAAAGTCATGAAACACGAATCATTTTCTGCTCAGAGAGTCACGTCCTGAACCTCAGGAACCTCCTGTGTGTGTGTGTGTGTGTGTGTGTGTGTGTGTGTGTGTGTCTTACAGGCTTCCTGAAGGGCAGGAGGATCTGTCGTCTGAGAACATGGAAGTAGTTTCCAGGAGAAGAGCAGTTCACCACGATCCAGTTACAGTCGTAGAGCTGACGCACGGCGAAGTCCTCTGTGATGTTCTGAGAGACGGACGAGGAGACACGGTCACGTCAGAGCAGAGGACAGATGTGCAGAGGACAGATGTGAGAGCTGGACCCAGGTATCAGATGTTAGGTGTGATCACATGACCAACAGCTTCAACTCACTCGTTTCACCTTCATTTAAAACGTCAACATCATTAACATGAACACGACAATCAGACAGGAGCGTGGTGTGTGTGTGTGTGTGTGTGTGTGTGTGTCTTACAGGCATGACATCTGGGTCGTCGTTGCACATCTGGAGGAATCTCTCTGGACGAGCTGAAGAATGTTCTGGACCCTGAAAACACAGAGTCAGTTAAATGGAGCTTTTCTTAACACACACACACACACACACACACACACACACACACACACACACACACACACACACACACACACACACCAGATCACCCGGCCCGCTCCACCTCCTCACATCAGATCCTTCAAACCACCAGTGGTAAAGACAGAACACACCTGTCCAGGTGAGCCACAGGGCTGTGATGCTTTACATATGGAAACCTGTTAACTTGTGTAGGAAGAAGAGACGCTGCACTTTGTAAATGAGCCCATGTTATATATTATTATTGATCTGTTTGTTCTTCTGTTGATTGTATTGTTTTATTGAACTCTGTTCTTCTTTCATGTGTCCGTTTTCTTTTGTCACATTGAATCGATCTGTATGTGTCTGTAATCAATCAGGAAACACTGATGACAAACAAGGTACAGTAACACTACGATAGGGGAGGGGCTCTGTTGGAGCAGGTCAGAGGGGGAGGGGCTCTGTTGGAGCAGGTCAGAGGGGGAGGGGCTCTGTTGGAGCAGGTCAGAGGGGGAGGGGCACGCGGTCTTTGTGATTTATTGATTCTGTGCCAGTTCAGTGATCAGAGTCAACAGCTGATTTAGTGCATGGCTCGCTCGCTTGTGTGTGTCAAAGCAACACTGGTGTGTGACACAGTCAATGCTGCAAGACACAGCAGCACAGCCAAAAAGGCCCACGAAAAACAACAAAACACCAAAAAAAAATGTGTGTGTGTCGCTGACGCCATGTGTGTGTGTGTAGGTGTGTGTTGTGATGTGTGTGGTGTGTAAAAGACCACACATGTGACTGGGTCGTGTGTTGTGTGCAGAAAACCAAGTGGTGTGCCCAAAACACCTGTGTGCAAGCTGTGTGTGTTGTGATCGATGTGGTTGTGTGTTGTGTGTGTGTAGTGTCCGCGTGTGTGTGTGGTGTGTGTGTATGTGTGATGTGGTGATAGTGATGTATCCACATGACGCGCCACCCCCCAGAAACCAATGATGCCTGTGTTCGTGGGTGTGTGTTGTGTGTAGGTGCTGTGTGGCTCGATGTGTGTGTGGTGCTCGCCCCCACCACAACCGCAAGATGTGTGATGGTTCGTGGCTGTGTGATTAGTGTGTCGTGTGTGCGCTGCTTAGTGGCTCCGTCCGCTCGTGGGATGCTGTGTGCTGCTGTGTCGCGAGGATGATGTGTGTGTGATGCCACACACGGCACCCAATTGTGTGTTGTTGATAGGATGTGCTGCTGTATGTGATGTGGTGATAGTGTGGTGTCGGTAGATGTGTGTGCTGTGTGTCCGAACCCCACAAACCAAATATTGATGGCTGATCTGTGGATGTCACATCGACTCGTGGCTCATGTGCGATGTAGCTGGGTGATGTAGTGTGTGTGCTGTGTGTGCTGTGGTGCTGTTCGTCGGTGTAGTTTGTGTGCTATGATAGTGTGTGTGATGTGGCCGCAACCCACACATGGTTTGTATGTGTGTGTGTGTGTGCGTGCTGCCGTCAACACCCTGATGCTCGATGGTGACACCAAACCATGTGACACCCCTGTGTGTGTGTGTGTGTGTGATGTGTGTGTGTGTGTGTGTAGTGTGATGTGTGTGTGTGTGTAGTGTGTGATGTGTCGTGTGTGTGGTCCAACACAAACAACCACACCTGTGTTGTGCATGATGTGTAGATGTGTGCTGTGTGTTTGGTGTGCTCGTGAATTGACGTGGTGTTAGTGTTGTGTTGTTGTGTGATGTGTCTGTGTGTGTGTGGCACGATGTCGTGTGTCGTGTGTGTGCTGTGTCGTGTGTGTGTGCTGTGTGTGTGTGGGATAGTGTGTGTACGAAGAAAAACCAAAAATGGTATCTCGTGGTGGTGCTGTGTTGGTGTGTGATACCGCAAAACCTGTGTGTGTGTCGTAGTAGTGTGTGCCTGTGATCGATTGTCGGTGTAGTGTACCGTGTTTGTGTGTGTGTGTGATGTGATGGTGTGTGTGTCCCATGTGGTGAACCATGGTAGGTTGTGTGTGTCGTGTCCGTGATGCTGTGTGATGTTGGTGTGTAGATACGCCATGTGATGTGGTCAGTCGATGAATGAATTGCATAGTTGATAGTGTAGTGTTGGATCGTGCTCTGTGTGATGTGTTTAGCGTAGTGATGTAGGTAGGTGATCGATGATAGTGAAGAAAAAACATACACCCGGCATGCGTGATTGGTGTGTGTGTGTTGTGTGTGTGTGTGTGTTGTGTGTGTGTGAGTGTGTTGTGTGTGAAAACATGTGTGTGTGTGTGTCAGTGTGTGTGTGGTGTGTGTGTGTGTTGTGATGAATAAGACGTAGTGTGTGTGGACTGAAAACACCAGAAAGAGCGCTGTAGCTCTGTGAGTGAATGTAGCTGGTGATAGTGTGCTGTGTGGGCTTGTGCTCGTGCCAGGGCAGAAGCCTCGCTCGTTGTTGTATGGTCACACACCCACACCACTCGCTTGATGTGTGATGCTGACATAGTGTGGGTGTGCGTTCGCTGTGTGTGTTGGTGGCTGTGATAGATGTAGGTAGTAGTAGCGTGTGTGTGTATGCTGCATGTGGCTCGTGTGTGGAATGTGTGTGTGTGTGTGTGTGTGTGTGTGTGTGGTAGAAGTGGAGCTAGTGCTGGGTGGTGATGGATGGGTGTGTCGGTCTGTGTGTGTTTGTGTAGTGTGCGTGTGGAAACTTGGGTTGGAGTACTCGGCTCGCTGTATGCTGTGTGTGTGTGTCGCTCAGCACCGAAACATCGACACGCCAGCTCGACACGAGAAGAAACAATAAACATCTTTCGTATCCGATTGTGTTGTGTGCCTGTGTGGATGGTGTTGTGTGTGCTTGTGTGTGGTTGGATGTGTGTAGCCTGTGTCGTAAGGGATGTGGGCTGTTGTGTGTGGGTGTGTGTGTGAAAGCCCCCATGCTCGTGTGTCCGTGTGTGACTAGATGTAGTGACCAAACCCCATTCAAGTGTGCCAACATGGTCACTCAACCATACCCCTCACATGCCCAAAAGTGACAGAGTCAGCAGACAGCACGATGCCGTTCTGTCGGACCCACTTGGCCTGACCGGGGCAGATGAACTGGTCGATGATGCACTGAGCCGTGTTGTGGAAGTCTCCGAACTGAGCCTCCCACAGGATCAGAGCGTTGGGACTCGCCATCGCAAAACCCAACTCGAAACCTGGAGACAGAGGAAGGACGAGGACGATGAGTCCAGAGACGAGCGACGCTGAGACAAACGTCCGGAGGGAAAAGTTCACACTGACCCAGGACTCCGTACTCGGACAGCGAGCTGTTGCAGACGGTGTACGGCGCCTGGTCGGGAGAGAGGTGGTTCATGGGAATACAGATCCTCTTGTCCACGTTCTGGTCATGGAGGACGTGATGACGGTGGCTGAAAGGAGACAAACAACATCAGTCTGCAGCACCTGGATTCACTCTCACGTCCTGAACCAGACCAGATCTAGGGTCAGGAGCCCCCCCCCCCATGTGAGGAGAGGAAGAGGAAACTAGAACCACCTCCTCATGGTTGTATCCCTCCGCCACTTAAACTAGTTCCACGTAACATCTGTGTTTATCCAGAGTCAGAGACAGAGAATATAAACATTAGGTCTTGACTAATGACTAAAAAGAGTCTTGTGAGGTCACACTGACCTTTGACCTTTGAAAAAGGATCAGTTCACCCTGGAGTCCAGGTGAACGTTTGTGCCAAATCTGAAGAAGTTCTGTCGAGGTGTTCCTGACACATCGTGTCCACGAGAAGGAGACGCACGAACAACCTGAAAACAAAATGGCCACCGGTCCGACTGCCGCCGGGGAGGAAATAAAAAATAAAAAGTGTGTTTACCTGAATGTCCCTCGCTCCACGTCCTGTCCCGACAGTCGCACGTGGATTCCCTCCTTCAGCAGCGACCCGAAGGCCATGTACTCCCCCAGAGCCCAGTCCACCGTCCGGTTCCGCACCATCTCAGCTCGGCCCTTCAGGATCCGACTCAGACCTGAAACAGCAAAGTTCAGCGTCAGAGTCAGGACGCAGTGTCTGTCTCGCTCATCTGAGTCCGGTAGAGTCCAGACCTCCGTGGATGGTGAAGTCCTCCACAGGGACGGATGAGGCCATCTGTCCGATGTGGTTCAGGTTCTCCTCGGTCAGACCGGTGGAGGGGCAGCTCATAGACTTGGGCTGACCGTCCAGGGTGAAGAAACCTGAAGACAACGACAGACCAACAAGTCAACAACCTCCGAGAACCAGCAGAACCACCAGGCCATGGTCCAGTCCTGACCCAGGCCTGAGACTCTAACATGACCTGGATGTTCAGGTCCGGTTCAGTTCTAACTGTGGTCCCCCCCCCCCCCCTCACCGGGCCATGGGGAGTCCAGCCAGTGCTTGATGTGGAGGATCTTCTCGTCTTTGGAGCGAGCGTACGCCTCCTCGCAGATCTTATCGTACTTGGAGATTTCCTCCTACGAACAGAGACACAGATGGTCTGAGAACCACAGACAGTCCAGCTGTGGTGACGAGTGGAGCAGATGTTGAATACATGGAAGACATATGTCATTTATATCATGATATATAATGATCATTTCCTCTATTGTCAAGTCAAGTTTAGAAAACCAGTGATTAGAAATGATGTTCTGTCCTTTACTCTGCACTGTGATTATTTAAATTAAATATGATCATGTAACTCCAGAGATTACTGAATGAACTTTGTGTGACTGAGACATCACGTCCACGAGAGCGGGACAGACGGACAACCTGAAAACAAAATGTCTCCGGCTGTGACCACCGCCGCGTGGGGCCGAGGCTGAGACGGAGAGAGGTGTTTCACCCTCCTGCTGCTGATCTGAACCCTGCTGGGCTCAAACCATGTCTATAAATCAGAGACGTTCAAAGCAAATCCCTCTGAAATCTGACGGGAGGCGGAGTCATGTGACTGACCTGTTCGCTCCTCCATCGTCTCCTTCTGCTCTGAAGCCGCAGTGACGAACCTCATCAACCGTTAGATAAACACTCACACACAGGTCGAGTGCAGCTCACAGACAAAGTACACTGTGTGTGTGTGTGCGTGCGTGTGTGTGTGCGTCACCTCGTACTCCTGCCGGCTCACTGCTCCCTCTGCGATCAGTTTCTCAGCGTATTTCTGCAGAACAGGTTTCTGCTTCTTGATCTGTTTGTACATCAGCGGCTGAGTGAACATCGGCTCGTCCATCTCGTTGTGACCCATCCGACGGTAACACACCTGCGCGCGCACACACACACACACACACACAGGTGAACGTACATGTTATTCCAGTGCTCACAGATTGTATTAGAACAGGTATAACCAGGTGTTTTGCACTGACCAGGTCGACCACCACGTCCTTGTGGAACGTGGCTCTCCACTCGGCCGCCACCTTGCAGACGTAGATGACGGCCTCGGGGTCGTCGGCGTTGACGTGGAAGATGGGAGCGTTGACGACTCGAGCCACGTCGGTGGGATACGGAGACGATCGAGCCATACGAGGATCTGTGGTGAAACCGATCTGGAGACGGAACACATCGTCACGGCTCAGACACTCGGACCGTTTGATACTTCCTGTTTGACACTTCCTGTTTTCTATGCGTTCATTACCTGGTTGTTGACGACGACGTGCACGGTGCCGTGCGTGGTGTAGGACGGCAGGTCAGACAGGTGGAAAGTTTCGTAGACGATACCCTGACCTGCAAACGCTGCGTCTCCATGGAGCAGGATGGACATCACCTACTCGCGCGCACACACACACACACACACACACACACACACACACCAGTGAGAGGTACAAAAAACACAGCTGTGGTTGTTGTGTTTTTTTGCTCCCTCATCTGTTGTGACATCACAGTCCACTTTGTCGGCTGTGTGTCGGCTCACCCTGTTCCCGTCGTTGTCTCCACAGTAGAACTGCTCGGCCTTGGTCTTCCCCTGCACCACGGGGTCCACAGCCTCCAGGTGGGAGGGGTTGGCCACCAGAGACAGGGTGATGTTCCTGTCCGTCACGCGGTTGATTCGACGGTGGTACATCCCCAGATGGTACTTCACATCTCCAGAGCCCTGAGGAGGGAAACCACAGCAGAGGAGTTTATAACAACACACAGAGACGACGGTACAGCTGTTATTAGTTCAGTATCTATCAGGAAGTGAGGAGACAGTCTGGAGCTAGCTGGTTAGCATGCTAACTTCACATTGGTGTTTGTTTCTACCTCAGGGGACAGAAGTTTGATGCTTCGTCTGCTAATGCTAACGTTAGCTATGCAGCATTAGCAGGAGTTAGATAGCTCCTTTAAAATGACATGTAGCATGATGTCATCTGTGTTGCAGCAGCAGATGTGATGTCAGCAGCGATGTTAATGAGCTCATTACCTCATCAGCAGCTTCCAGTTTGGAGTCAAATTGACAGAAGATCTGCTCCAGCTCTTTACGGATCACGTTGGCCAGAACGTTCAGACGACCCCTGAGACACAGAGAGGTGAGTGTACACACAGCGGGACTCCTGTGTGTGTGTGTGTGTGTGTGTGTGTGTGTGTGTGTGTGTGTTACCTGTGAGGCATGCCCATGATGACGTTCTCCACTCCGTTCTCAGAGGATTTATCAATGATGGTTTTCAGAGCTGGGATCAGAGACTCACATCCCTCCAGACCAAAACGCTTCTCTGCAGACCACTTCTTCTGGAGGAACTCCTCGAACCTACACACACACACACACACACACACACACACACACA